CGAGTTTCTCACTAATCTCCCACACCTTACGAGCCTTCTCTGCATCACTAGCCTCCTGTGACAACTGGTTTTCAAATGAAGCAGATGTTTTGTTCCAGCTCCAGTAAACACCAGATTTTGTTAGGCTTGGATCACTCACAACCTACATAAAAGACAATCACCACACATGAGAATTAAAGACACTTGAAAACTTCATGCTCTTTGTATCACTATCTTCCCTTGAGTGTCATTGCTATTGTTACCTGAGCAAGTCTCTTTCCTGCTTCATCTTCTGAGACAAAGCCTTTGGTTATGTACTTTTGGAATGGAGGGAATAGAGTTCTGAACAAGGGAATGTGCTCTCTGAACAAGCCTGTTGTGGCAATGCATCCGGGGTATAGCGAAGCGAATGTGATTCCAGTTTCCTCGTGGAATCTTCTGTGGAATTCTTGCATTGTGAGCATATTACAGACTTTGCTGTCCTTGTATGCCTTGGCACCATCAAAGTCTCCACCATCAATCATGGCTGAACTGTTTAGCCCATTCAAACCACCCTGAAGTCCCCTCAAGTCACCAAGGTTAGCTTTGGGAGGTACATTACCAGCCAATGTGTTTGTGTTCCCTGTTGAGTCGACACAATCAGCATAAAAATGAAATCAAATAAGGACAATATTTAAGTACAGTACCATACATGCTGCTGATGATTCTCCAATCGGAATTGGAAAACATCTTTGTAACATGCATTTATATTTAATACAAATATCAATGCGCATGTTATCAAAGTAAAACTCCAAATCCAATTATGATTGAAGAATAACACTAACAGGATTTATGATACTGGATATAAGTTTTGTCTAACAAAAAATGGGTGCGATAAGAACTGGAATTCACAACAAACAAACATACTAATGATAATGAACTAGACCTGTGATTGAACCAACAATGATCAAGCGCTTTGAAGGGTAATCAGATTTGTTCAAGTCCTCAAGCAACAAACGGGCAAGGAGAAAATGCCCCAGATGGTTTGTCCCAACACTAAGTTCAAAGCCTTCAGCAGTGAATGTAGGTTCCTTGGCAGTTGGCAAGTAAACAGCAGCATTGCAGACCAGCACATCCAGCGGCATGTCTGATCTTCTGAAGTTATCAACGAATTGGCGGACGCTGTCGAGAGAGGCGAGGTCCAAGTGCATGATGGTGTAGTTTTCCTTGGCCATGCCAGCAGATTTTGCAGCTCTTGAAGCTTTGAGGAAATCCCTGCAGGCCATTATTATATGCCATTTTCCTGTCTCAGCCAAAGCCTTAGCAGTGGCAAGGCCTAATCCAGAGGAAGCCCCAGTTATCACAACACTGCCCTTTCTCAATGTTTTCTTGCCTTCTGGTGTAGATTTGGTAACTGCTGGAGTGGTTGTAGCCACTGTCTCGGCCCTCACAGCACCAATTTTTTGTTGTAAGTCCCTCTGATAGAGAGGGGAACACAAAATAAATAAATAAATTAGACAATGGCCACTAAAACATTTTTGTTCTTGAGGGTGGGGGGATTACACAGTACTTTGTATTTTGTTAAATTTGTTTGTTGTTAAATAAATTGATTAAAAGGATACAGAGCAAAAACCAATTTTTCAACAAGTATAATCACATATTAGACGCTCAACGATTCTAAATTCTAGTTGTCCAAAAAGCATAGGCACATATTAACTAGAATATACTAGTATTATTTTGGTCATTTTGCATGAGAAACCTTAACACTTGGATTTCCAAAAAACATAAAAGAACAAATTACACTAACATCGTGTGAGTTTTCGTTAAATTAACTGATACCCTCCCTTTTTCTACCCTTACATTAATTACTGAATTGTTTGAAAAACATTATACAGATACTCCTAGTGTTTTACTTTGACACCAAAGAAACACATTACAATGTGTACTCTTACAAGGATTGCTATAAACGTTAAGAAAACAAGGAGCCATGTACAATCCGAAGAAACATTAGGGTGTTAGAATAATTTGCTAAATATAAAATTCTTCCGAAATGACATCAAGTAAAATACCTTAATATACTCGGAGATAAGTAAGAAACTACTTAATGGTGAATTGAGAAGAAGATAGCAAAGCTTTAATTGAACTTACCTTGCACCTCAATGCAGAAGAGCTGAAGTCAGCTTTGATAGGTTCTGACAATGAAAGACCGAACAGAGCGGAGTCCTTGAGAGACACACCATTCTTTCCCTGCAAACACAAAAGGCATGATTCAATTATCTCTTTGGAAAAAGCATATAATACACAATGAATAAGAATGAGAATTTGAAGCAAACCTCTTTAGGAAGGGAGAAAGAAGCAGGAACCAAAGAAGCAGCTTGGAGAGCCATTACAAGAAAAAAGTACAAACAAGATTTTCGGTTATGCAATGTAGTGGAGTCAGTTGAAGTGGTGTCACCACTGGGGTGTAATGAAATATCAAATATGTGGTTCAAGTTTGTGCATTGAAAATGAACTTATATCAAGTGTTGTATCTTTTGAAATGAGAGGATAAGATAAATAGCAGCATGGGCAGTTGCCACGTCATCTCCAACCAACCAATGGAGTGGTGAGTTTTGGATTTCTTAAGAAGGGATATTTTGATCCGTTGCCAATAGGAACCACTACATGTCCCCATTACTATTTGTAGTTATGTTATGGCCTATAGTCTGTGAATAATAATATCTGTGGTGAAAGAGATTGAAGGAGTGGAGGTACGTAATTTTAGATAGAATCTGAATGAATGGAAGCCTTTTTTGGCAGCTTTTGGATGGGGATATATTATTTTTTACAAAGAGAAGAAACTAGAAAGTTTGCAACACTCCATAGTCCATGTCCGTTTCTGTGCATTGTGCATGGACTCATCATCATCATCATGGTGTCCCAACCCAATCAGTTTTCTTTTGTGGTCCATGGACTTCAGTAACTTGCTAGATTGGGCTACTCATTAACAATAAATTAAAGAGGGGTCATGCTTTTCATACCTCTCTTTTCTCTGTTAACACCCCTTCTTTTTTTGTTTGATATTTCTAAACTACATCTCTTTTCCCTTATAAAATGGTTCCTCTTCCTCCTCCCTCGCACTCCCTCACTCTTCCATTCATTTCTTCACACCCATCCCCTTGTTGATCCCAAGCCTTAGGTACCAATGGTAGAGACATGAGTTGTTGGGCTTTTTTTTTCTTCATAGGATGTCTTAAAATTCTGTGTTGAGATCCTTTGCAAACCATATTGCGTACAATTGTGGGTAGGACAAGATCATCACAAGATGAAAGTAGTCAACCATGGGAATAAGGTGTTACCCATGCTTGAGCACAAGTGAAAGAATACGTGGAGAGGTATAGGCTAACGCCTCTTATACATGCATGGTGGACAAGATTTGTTTGCCTTTTCATAGTGTTAGCACAAGGACACCAATTCCTTTCACCTTCCGGTAGAGGAGATGATCATCACTCTATATGATGAGTTGTGTACTTATAGTGAGACGCTATGTTAAGTCAGTATGCATCAAACAAAGTAGTAGGAAGGATATATGACTTTCCAACGGGTACCAATTCCAAATTTATTTTTTATTTAGTTCTCTTTAGCTTTTGTATTTTTTGTATTTTTTTTATTTTTTTTAAGACAATTAATTATGTTAATCGTTTTTTAAGCTTGGATCATTGAGTAATTTCTAGCCATTGGCTATTGCCAATTGGCCAAAAAATATATTGAGCAAGAGCAATCATGTCATGCTTGTGAATGGATAGTTGTGAAGGATTTAGTGACGTATTGACCACATGTTAACGAAGTATTGTTTCTTGCACCCATTTTTTTTTTTTTTTATTTATAATTTTCACCTCAATGTTTCGGACACATAAGATGGGTGTAATATATAAAAAAAGTTACGTACAGGAAACATTTGTCAAATTATCACTAGGTGTGCTACAACCATAAAAGGTCATCTAGATGTCTTATGAACATGAGTGAGTTTTCCGGGACATCCCATTTCTTGAGATCTCTTAAATAAAGTTAATTGTTGTGCACCCATCTACCGAAGAGAGTGCTACTATAATTTGGGCATGTACATGAAATTTATTGCTCACTATATGTCATCACAGAACATGTGTTTATTGTCAACGAATGTGATGAGAGCTTTCTTTAGTATCTTAATCACATTTTTGACAGATATTAGAAGACTGTGTAAGTGATCCACATCAAAGGAAAAGGAAGATCCACATGCAATGTCATGATATTTCTCATTAAATTTTGCCTTAGTTGTATTATTTTTGTCAATTAAACATATATATTATATGTTAGTATGTGGACTTATTTTTATTTGTCTAATATTTTTACCTGATTTTATTTATTAACTTATTACGGCATTAAAGTTATTTATAATAAAAAAATTGAGTCATGAAATTAACTAAATTAATTATGTTCATATGGATACTTTATTTAACAAGTTTTTTAATTAATAAAAATTATTAACTTGTTTAATTAAAAAATAAAACATTATACATAAATGATAAATAAATTAACTATACTACGAAAAAAAAATTATTTTTTTGGTAGTGCAATATGTTGAAATACTTTATGTAAAATAATTTTTGTATAACTCAACGTTACAAAAATTATGTGAAGGACATTGTTGTAAAAAAAAAAATTGAGACGGTAGGAACAAGCGAATAGTAGCCCCAGTTATAGCTAAGCCCAAGAAACTACAGTGCTACGAAAACCATGCCTGTAGGCTGTAGCCTAGAACTGTTCAACTGTGTATATGATCGTGGGTTTTGCTCGCTGGGCCCATACTATAGCTTTATTAGCTGCCAAGAGCTGTAGAGTAGAGTACTGGATGCTTTCACTTTGGAAAAGGGTTCTTACAATCAAGTTTTTAAAACTTTCTTTGTCATGTGCAGATATTGCCATTAGTGACGCCAACACTTGCAGCTATGCTATTTTATTGAAATTAATTCACTTTGGCCAAGAAAAGATAATGAATTCCATGACAAAACTCGAGACAAAAGTGTAAAAGAATCATCATTTCTAATTTCAATAAACTTTTTCCATGCTCGCGTTACTCTACAATTGCCGATTACATCAATCGGTTTCTAAATTCCTGGTGTAACTTTTTTTTTTTTTCTTTTTTCTTTTTGGTTTTTTGTTTGCAATGTTTCCCCCCACCTTTATCCCCCCTCACCCTCAGTGCCTGAATGGAATGACAACCTATCTTCATCCAACGCACAGAAACAAGAAAAGAAATGAAACCCCGCTAATATTACAAATCTCACCCACTTTTCTGTACAGGTTTTCACCAACTAACAATGGAGAAGGTGAATTCTACTGGCTGCCTTCTGATGCATATTCTCATTTCTTATATCCGAAGTGGTAATCCAAAATTTTGGAAAGTTCTAATTTCCCCACGAAGGCCGGCAGTTACAATCACCATACCCCAGGCTGACATTTTTTGACTTACCCCATTAGAGAAATCCATACTCACACGAGGGCTTTGGTTTCTTGCAGCTAGAAGAAGTTTTTCCTCTGGCCATGTTGCAGAAATTCTATCAAAAAAGTAACTATTTGTGGCACTTGCAATGGTCGCATGGCGTGGACTGTTGCTGTAACCTGATGCAGATCTTGAACCCTCAGTAACAAAGTTTTCCTCTACAGGGGTAGGAGGATGATTGGCTGACAACACTTCATCAACATTGTTGTCAAGCTCGGGTTGTTCTCCGGAAAATGTACCATGCATGTCCCATGCATCACCCATACCAGGCCACGGAATGGCCACTGACACATCTTTACAGTGAAAATGTTCATACGATCGTGTGACAGTGACACCTTTACTTCTGTTGGGCCTGCAATCAGCTTCGTTTTTCCAGATGTATACATGGGAGTCCTCACTTGCTGCGACAACGTATTTACCATTTGCCGTGAGGGATGCTGAAATCGGGCTACTTGCATTCCGAAAGCCTGCACAAAACTTCATCAGTTTAATCAACAAGGAAATAAATATACTGAAGACTAGTTGCCATTTAGACAAAGCTGAAAAGCTAGCAAGACCACAACTTTTTTCATCTGTCCAAATAAATGTACCATATGTCAGAGAGACAAATATCCCTCCACTCCAGACAAAACATTAAAAAAATGTTAAAGTTTTGCTTTGTATATAGAATTAACAAAACAAATTTTAGTGCAGATGGAAGCAGTATACCAAATGGTTTGTTCACTTGTTATATGATCTTTTAATTAAATTTTCACTTGATATAACTACATACCTTTAAACTTATGAACCAGATCAACACCATCAACAACCCGAATTCTTGAGTCAGCAGATGTGATAAGTACTTCCGATGAACTTCCTGGGGCAAACTGTTCACAAAATTCAGTTAGGAAGACAAGTATAAACAAGTCAAAGTAAATCCACTACAGTCAAACGCCCCTCCTGTTTTATTTTATTTTATTTTATTTCTTCCCTGTTCATGTTTTGGATTGCTACACAAAAAAATAAGCGTAACTCGAGCATGGCAGTATATCATTACATTACCTGGAAACCAGTAATTTTCTTGTGATGTGATTTCTTTTTCTTGTTCTGCAGATTGATCTGACTTTTCTGTTGCAACTTATTTTCTGAAAGAAATAAAACAAGTTGATAATGAGTGCCTGACAATTACCATAATATAGATGAATAGACACATTTATAAAAACAAAAAGGCCTCCAACAATTACCAGATGTATTATATAAATGGCAGCTACCCTTGTATGAACCAATCAGTGCACCCTGCACCAGCAAATTAAACTGTGTTTGCAACATAAAATTGAATTCCTGAGTGTTCAAATAGATGCATATTAACCCTGGACCAACCTGACCATCAGGCGTATAACATGCAGCAGTGACCATCTCGTGCAGATCAGTCCAATCAACAACTTGTCGATCAGGAATGCTCCATATGCGAACCTTAGCATCCAACGACCCGCTAATGAAGTATCTATCATCAACAGGATTAAACTGGATGCAAGTTACTGTGCCAGAGAGAAAGAAGATTGAAGCAAAAAGCTTAATTAGCAAAGAACAAAAACGGGGACGGGTTGGAGTGAAATAGTTTTCATTGCTAAATCTAGCCACCCTAGTCCTATATGCAATAGAGATGATATTTTGATAAAAGTGCCAGTGTGCAAAATGTAGTTACCCTATCCTCAAAGACATGCGTATGTTGGAGTATATTGGACAGGGACAGAATGAACTCAGAATCTAATTCAATTTTCAGTGGGGAAGAGGCAGAAGAAACATTGATAAAAACACACATAAGTATACGAGTGTTCAGCCATTTAATCAAGTCATCCCATAAGACTTCTACTCAGATTACAGGGAAGCAAAGATGAGAGCATTGCAAGATGTAATGACTGCATTTACTCACCATAGTCACTGTGTGAAAATACTTTTAAACAAGACTCGCTAGACAAATGCCACAGCCGCACAGTTTTGTCCATTGAAGATGAGAGCAAGTGCTGAGCAGAGCAAAAAAGGTAAAAAAAGAAATATATTAAGAGAATGATCTAAAAATACGTGCATTTTAATTCATATTTATAGAACACATTGCACAGCTTTTGTCAGATATTTGAAGTTTAAAAGATTTTAAACCGATATTAATCTAAAAGATCTATAAATAAATAAACAAAACAAAATAGAAACACACCACCGAATGGAAGCTTTTCAAAGACAACATTTGAATCTGCAATAAATATCAATCATTCCACAATTCATTCTTCAAATCTCAGCCACTCCAAAAGGTGCTCATCCTAGTGCTACTCTTAGTACTCTATAAGGTATGACTCAAACTAGGATGCTAAGAATTAAAATGTGTTATGGTACATATCCACTTGTATAGAAAATGAAGAAAAATAAATTGATTAGAAGTTTCAAAATTATATATGGTTTTATAAAACAATATAAATTAGAAACAGTTTCAAATATTGTTCAATTGTATAAAGTCTAACCATCATCAACAAATATTATTTGACTCATGTAAGCAAATCAATTTTAAAATTTCAAACAAAATAATATTAGGAAAGGTGGGGGGATAAATAAAATAAAAAAAATTATTATTGGGGAAAATGAGACAGGATTAAAACAGCAACTTAGTTTGGAATTGCTTTTGGACCAGTTTTGAATTTTGACTATCAAAATTTTTAAAATTTAAGTGATTACTAGAAACAAATTTAATTAGCTCAACTGTACCTAGTTATTTTTATAAATTTTAGTAAACATTGCCTAAAACTTTCATAGGAAATAATGATAAATTGACCTGTAGATGAAGTTAAAACAAGATCAAATGTCAACTATTCATTGGAAAGGCATTAATGAACTACTAAAAAGCATTCCCAAGTTACTAAGTACATGTTTGTTTTGACATTTGTGAGAGGCAAACATCCGTTTATTTCAATGCACCTAGATACATGCTATTCCGTTTGGAAGTATAGGAATATGTGCAAATGATAATACAAACACATCCTAAACAGCTGAAGAAGTACTTTAGCGAATTCCGATGCACAATTCCAAATTTCAACATACAAAATTAAATAGGACGAAATTGTTGCTTTGGAACTAAAAGTACTTTTGAGCTCTCTGAACTGAAAACCAAACACGCACAGAGCATGCTAAGCAAGTTACTGACCTGCAGACACTATTTCTGTATTCAGCAGTAAATTTAAGTTACCTTTCATTAAAGCTAAGCCAAATTATCACTACATCTACTGTTCATCACAGTAATTCCTGGAAAAATTGAATACATTCATAGAGTATAATTCACTATCAATGTAAACATTAATTATCACAAAATCTTAAACATATACTACCATCCTTCAGTTTCTAAGTTACTTCTTTCTCCCTAAATTAATCATTTCTAAATTCCTTTGGAAGGAAGGCCTACAATAACAATGTAATTCTGTAGGAAAAAGAAACCAATTTACACCTACTAAAATTAAAGTTAATCACCTATATACTGCTAGTGTAAAGTTTTTTTACACTGGCAACCAATTATAGCTATCTATTGTGCCATGTCACTGTTAAAAGTAAATGTGTTTACAGTGACATGGCACAATAAATAGATACAATTGGTGTAAAAAAACTTTACACTAGCAGTGTATAACTCATAAAATTAAACATTTATAAACAAGAATTCAATCTGATAGGGAGTAGGAAAAATTCCATAAACCTTCTCACTGGGCCAGAACTTTATCCACTGGATCCTACAATACATATTTCAATGACTCAACCCAAATAAAGTCAGCAAAACTAGAAAAAGTCTAGTAGCTTGCGCACTGCATATAAAATATCTTCTATGATGCGATAACCAGAAAACACCAACAAAATAGTCGCAGCACCTCCCTCAAATAAGATAACCATTGTTTCATAAACTGTGTATTTAACATAACAGACAACACAATTTGAAATCTAAATTTTTCCTTGATGCATTTTCGGCCACTTGAAAACTGTCTACTCCAGTCAAATTAGTCAGCCACCTAAGAATATCAAATCTTTCTGAAATACAGATACAGAGTAGAAAACTCAGTCAAACTGTTGAGTAAAAGCAAATCGTTGGAACCATTCACAGCAACTCAATGTACACTACCTCTACAAATATACTGAGAAATTGAAATTGAAGATCCTTGAGACAATGAGAAGCTAACCTGAGACTTGGACCACGAGAGATCAAGCACATCATGAAGATGCCCCTGAAAGGAGCAAACGGGCTTGTCAGTGAGGGCAAAGACGGTCTGCGGCACCACCAACTGGTCCAAGCTCAACGACTTCCTACTCACACTGGACCTCCCCTTCCTCTTCCTCTCCCCATCGGCGAGCGGCGACAACAGCGCGGCGGCCTCCGGCGAACCATTCACCAGCAAAAGCATATTGACATTACTCCCATGAACATGATCCTCCCCTTTCTCCCTATCCAGCAGCAGCAGCTCCCCCTTCCTCTCCCCCTCCACCACCTGCCACACGTGAATCACACAATCCTCACCGGCACTCGCCAAGTACTTCCCGTCTAAACTAAACTTAATGCTCCAAATGGACCCGTTATGCGCCTGAATCTCCTGGCTCTTGTAAAGCGCAGTCACCTCCTTGCAACTCTTCCCATACTGCTTCACGCGCACCCTCTCCGGGCCGTGGAACGCCGCGTCCTGGCTGTCGTCCGTGGCCGAGCTGGACCGCCGCCCTCCCTTCTCCGACGAGGTGTCCCGCTCGTCGCTGCTGCGGCGGTCGCGGTAGGCGGTGACGGAGGTCGCCACGGTCTTGATGGTCCTGAGCCAGCCGGAGGCGGCACCGGCACCGGCGCCGCCAGCGCCGGCGCCGTTCTTCTTTGCCTTGGAAGAGGCGGCATTGGCGGCGTCGGCGGCTCCGCCGCGGACGCTCTGACGGCGCATGAGCTCCTGCACGATGGGGGAGTGGCCGAGCGTGAGGTCGAACTCCTCCATAGTG